ATCTTAACAATGTAATCTTTTAGGGGGAGAAGGACCGGAGCCGGTGAAATGGGCCGGAAATCCTGATGTCTCCTACCTGAAATGGGCCGCCAAATACGGGGCGATGGTGTTCGACCTGGAGCATCGGTTCTTTGGCGACAGCTGGCCGATCAAGTGGGTATTATTTATGTTTAGTGAAGTGATAACTTGATTGTTTCGGTTCTTTTGTATGATCGGGAGAACGATATTTTTTCTAGGTATCGACTTTTTTAAATATAAATTGCGGGAAAATTCCTAAATTTTCGAAATTTTAAAGTTTAAAAAAATTGAAATTTTTACTATTCCTAAAAGTAAAGCGCTTACACTATCCGATAACATTCACGAATTATACCTTTAAAGGAGCATGGAGTACGACGCGTTGACGCTGTGCACCACCCAGCAGGCCCTCGCCGACATTGCCAATTTTATCACGGCGATGAACCGGAAATTCGGGTTCAGCAACCCGCGATGGGTCACGTTTGGGGGCAGTTATCCAGGTATGGATTTTATAGTAGACTGGGGGTTAATAAGGTTTAAAAGAAAGTTTATAATGAATAAAGTATGCTAATGACGATAGGTTAAAAGCATCACATTGCCGTTTGTTTTTAATCTTAATTTTTGTTCAGGCTCGCTATCTGCGTTCTTCCGTGCCAAATACCCCGATCATACCGTTGGCGCCATCGCCAGCTCGGCGCCGGTGAACTTGAAGCTTGATTTTTACGGTAGAATTTTGTATTTAGCGGGTGAGAGAAAGTGCTAGAGAGGGAGAGAGAGAGCGAGAAAGAGGGCGAGAGCTAGATACGAATATGAGCGTTTCTTTAAGAAAGAGAAAAATAAAAAACCAAAAATTCAGAATACGCCATGGTTGTCGAGGATGACGTCACGATCACCGACCCAACATGCCCGGGCGAAATTCAGAAGGCCTTTTCCCAGATGCAACAAATGACGCTCACCGTCCAGGGCCGGAACGACTTGAACAAGATTTGGAAGTGAGTTTTGGCCTCAGAAATGTTATAAAAAAGCGATGAAGTCCTGGAATTTGAGCGGCAATTTATAGAAATTTAAAAAGTTGGTTATAAAAAGTTAAAATAGCAATCACTTCTAAAGAATCTAACAAAAACAGTAAATATTCGATATTTTTCAGCCTCGACCCGCCGTTCGACAACTCGACCACCAAACTCGATATTACCAACTTTTTGGCGAACGTGTACTCGCTGTTTCAGGGGATGATTCAATACACATACGATGGCCAGGTTTTAAGGCATTAGACTTAGTTTTTAATAATTTTAGTCCGACCTGACGCATCAGAACATCACCGCCCGCGCGCTGTGCAACCTGATGACGAACAAAGATGAGGCCAACCTGGTGAAGCGGGCTTATAATGTGTGGGGATGGTTGGTTTTTGGTTGGTATCTTGTTGATACCTGTGGCTTATTACGTTGTTGTTCTACGGTACCGCGCTGTTTGCGGGGGGTGGGGTTGCGTAGAGGCAAACTAATTTTTCCCACTAATCCTGTACGGTACTTTAACAAAATATGGTTTTTATGCCACTTTACAGGTTTTTGAGAAATGAAAAACGCACTAAAAACTGACAAAAATTGCCAAGGTTTGGATTTTTTTGGTAAAATGCATGAAAATGACCAAAAAAGTAACATTTTTGGAATTTTCAAGGATATTGAAAATCGTTTCTGTAACTTTCTAGCAACCTAAAGCTACTAAAAACAGTAGCAAATTACACGAATTATTCTTGCCAGATGGCTATAGACGGAAGAACAAAAATTGGCTTTTTTTTTTATCGAAAACTAACCTGTTCAAGCAAATTCGAGCGTTTAGCTTATCTTTCCGTAAATAATCTTAAATAAACTTTAAATGTGACTAATTCTAGGTATCAATATTTCTACGGCGACCCGACGCAGGACAACTCCAAGTTCCCGAACAGCTACTGGGACATGATCACGGTGATGAGCCAGAAGAACGTGACGCTGATGGATGAGAATGGTAGGTCAAATGGCTATGCCACTAAGATTCTTAAGACCAAAATTGTGTTTAAATATTGGAAAATAGGGGTCTAGTCTTTACAATCAAAAAGCAAAAAAAAATCGCGGGGAATTTACGTGAAATTTGCCGTATTGAATTGGGGGTGGGAAGGGGGGGGGGGGTGGTAGGGGCCGAAGGCTAGGATTGGGGGCGGGGCTAAGAAGCCGCTCGCCCCTCCCACCAGTCGGAGCTCTTGGCGCAGGGGATTAGGGCGCCGCGCCCCACCCGACTGACCCGGGTTCGGCACCTGGGCGCTGGTCTATAGTCGCGATGATGATATATAGCCAAGAACACTGACCGAAAAACCACTTGATTTGAGCCGCTCTTTTTGTATATATACCCAGATTATTTGATCGCAGGTCGTAAATACGCTAAATTTTTTCTGTATCTTTCGTTGCTATTAACGATGCAAATTGACGATAATTTTGCATCCTGCAGGCGCCGATCGGGGGTGGATGTGGCTGTGCTGCAATGAGATTGGCTTCTTGCAGACAACCGACCAGGGCAAGAACATTTTTGGCTCGACGGTGCCGATCAAGTGAGTTTTCAAATTTCTAACATTAAAAATATCTTTAATTTAACTCATGGTACAGACCGCGAAATACCTTAACTTGCGAATTTTTTTGCGATTTTACTTGAAAACCAAAATTATAGGATTGGCATTTTAACCTTTTTTACACTTTTTAAAAACTAAACCCTCAAAAAATCAAAGCATAGTTTTGTTAATTCCGTCATTAATATAGATTTTGATGATTCAGCTACTTCATCGACATGTGCACAGACCTCTTCGGGCCGGCGGTTAATGTGAATTTTGTGCGTGACAACAACAAAATGGCGCAAAACTATTACCAAGTTGCTAGCGAGGTTAGTATAATTTTCGAGAAAGTAAAAAATGTATTTGATGTCAAGAAACCTTCGAATTTTGGAGAAAATCGGGTTTAGGCCACCAATATCGTGCTGCCAAACGGCTCCCTGGACCCCTGGCATGCGCTCGGAACGTATACGGTAGATGCGGCAAATGGAGTGGCACCGATTTTGATTAATGGTTAGAACGGATTAATGAAAAAAATATTAATCAGAAGGATTCTAAAATTTTAAAATCTGGGTTCATGTCTGAATAGGTCGGGCAAAATTGGAATAAAACTACTATCTAAAATTTTGCACAAAATATTTCCAATTTTGAGGACCACGTTAGATGGAAAATTAGTCTAGATCCTAAAGAATCGTTGCTAGCATGCCCAAAACTGGCTTTCTCGCGTTGTTATACTCTAAATCGGGGAGTTCGAGCTGAAGAAAAGGTCTCAAAGTATGGTTTTTAGCGTTAGCCAGAAGCTAGAGTCTTTTTCCTTAAGCTCAAAATTCATAGAAAAATCAAATAAAAATCACGAATAAGATGCTGTAAAAATTTAACCCAATAAAGTTCGAACATTCCAGGAACCGCTCACTGCTCGGATATGTACCCAGTTTACGATGGCGAACCAGGAGCGCTAGTTGCCGCCCGGCTCTTCATTGAGCAGAATTTGGCCGTGAGTTACTGCAAAATTGCTGTTTTTTTTATGAAAATTCAGTCGTTCATCGCCCCGCAAGACCACACTCAACCCTCTATTCCTACGATTTATCCCCCAACTTCGGTTTACATGCCGACAACCACGCAAAATGTTCCTACAGTGACTGTCACGGGAAATCCGGTAAGGAAAATTTAGATGTTCAACCCTTTCTCTCCATCTCATAAACTCGATTATATCTTTCTTGCTCTCTCTCACTCTCTCTCCATCTTTCGCTCTCTCTCTCTCTCTCTCTCTCCCTCTCTCTCACTTTCTCGCTCGCTCACTCTCTCTCTATCGCTATCTCTCTCGTTCTCTCGTTCTCTCCCTTTCTCTCTCCTGCCATCGTAAAATACAAATATGCAGGTTACCGTGACTGGTCCAACAGTAACGGCACCTACCGTAACTATTCCGGTTGTGACGACAGCGAATCCAGGAGTGACTACAGCAAATGATGTGACTACTAAAGGACCAAACCCGACACAAGCTACGAACCTTCCGATTTCTCCGGTGACCGAACATACTGTACAGAGGTAAGTGAAAAATTGCACTAAAAGGAACAGTAAAGTCCAAAATCGCCCCCTCGGTGATTAGGTCTCGACAGCTATGTGCTAACCCAAAAGACAGTTGTATTTTGGGACCATTATTAAGGGATCAGACGGCTAGATTTATGTCAGTGATTCAATGAATGCTATTTTCAGCTCTGCTGCTCCTCCAATTACTGGAACTACAGTAACGGGCGCTGGACCCTCGGCCGGTACTTCAACAACTGGAGGTCCTGGCGACGTCCAGACCACCACCAAGACTACCATCAGAATTTCGTACCTCAGCGCTGTGATGCTATTTGTTGCACTGTTTGTTTAAATATTATTGGAGGTACTATGAATTAACATGTGGAATATACCGTATGCCGGTCGATAAATCTAAATTTTTGCCGTTAAATTTTAACGAATTTTCGCTAATAAAAATGGGAAAACTCAATTTCTGGCTTGAAAACTGGCTTCTAAGATAAATTTTGCACTTTTTGATCTATGAAAATTCAAACTACGTTTTTATTTACAAGGAATGCGCCCTTAAAACAACCAGCTTGTGATATGGTTTGCAGGCAATTACATAAACAAAAAGCTAATTTTTTAATTCGAAAATGCTTTTAAACGCTGTGCGATTCAAGCGCAAAAAACCACAACTTTGAATTAACTATGGCAATTAAACTTGAAAAACACACCCATTTTAACTACCAGAAATCGGCTTTAAAGCTCATTGCAATTTACATTTTTAATTCACCAATATAACGACCAAAATTGGCCTTCTCTCGCTGAAGGCCAGCTGCAGCTGATGTTTCACCTGCTCCAAAAGATCAGGCTCCAGAAACCGGTACCTCTACTGGCATAATGGCCATAAATGTTCGAAAACACGCTCATCAACATCTTCTACCACACGCTGGGAGGTTTGGGGACTGTCGTATCGTTATTCTGGATGTATCTGATCGTCAAAAAATCACCCGTCGAGATGAAGCTGTTCAAATGGGTGCTTTTCAGATTGGCGGTGGGTGGTTGGAGATGACCCTATTTCTTTATTTTTTTATTTTTTATTTACTCTGTTTTCTAGTCTTTGCGTCAAAAAATGTAGAAATTATAAAATATAGAAAGCTGTCTATGTAATGATTATCCTACCAATTGCGCGCATTTTTTGGGTGGATTTGTCATTTTCACTCTTGCCTTTATTTTTTTTATTGTTATTTATTTATTATTTTATTAGCAACTTTAATGAATCGATTAAGTGGCATACGTGCAACTAAGACAAAACAAACCAAAATGTGCCCCGGTCCTCCTTATTATTGAGCCTTTAATTTTTGGGTAACTTCAAGGTATAGAATGGGTATTTGTACGCAGAGTTTAGCTGTGCGACGAATGCTTTTCCCTCGGTATGGCCGTCCTGTTGCTCCCCGAGCTCTGCTTCCCGGTCCCAGCTGGCGCGGTTCACGGGATTGCTGGTTATTTTGGAGACCTTGGGGCGAAACTGGCGGTAAGTTTCGTAACTTTACAAAGTTCAAAATCTATATGAAAAACGCTACGTATGCTAAAGAGCTGTGCAAGGCACTCCTCTATATTTCGTGGCCTTTTCAACGGGTTTTGCCTACCAAGTGAGGCATGCAGCCCGCGTTTTGCATTGGTGATTGCGTAATCAACGACGACACTGCGTGGCGTGGCGCAGCCATTCGGAGTGACTCACCAACCGATGCCTTAAAAATCTCCTTAAAATTCGATTTGGTCTTTAGGTGAGCTTCGTCTTCTTCTCCGGCGTCAACATCTTCACCGCGATCAATGGGGCCTTGTATGTACGTAGCTTGATAATACATGACAACAAAAGGTATCGGAATATTTTGAGGTGTAACACAGCTACTGTAGATGCCCTTTAGGTTGCTCGGCTACGTCTACAACCCTTGGATAAGTATTCCATTTGTGTTAATAGGAAACACGGGGATGGCGTTACCATTATCAGTGACATTTTGGTTGTCACTAGCTGATCGGAAGGTAGAGCGAGAGGGAGAGAGAGAGAGATAAATGCGATTTTTCGTTTAGATCCTCATTTCACAATTTAACAACACCAAAGAGTACGAGTATATCCGGTACGCAGTCGGTAACGACATACCGCTGCTATCAATTGTGAAAGGGGCGCATGTATTGGAAGCCTATCTTTTTGCCGCGGTGGGACCATTATAAAAATATAGATTTTTTGCTGTAGCTGGTGGCTGTCGGGATTTTCGCTATGTATTTTGCTAATTTTCTATCGGCTGCCCAGGTAAGAGAGTGAGAGAGATAGCGAGAGAGGGAGAGAGAGATAGCGAGAGAGGGAGAGGGAACCTTTCCAGCTTTGGTACAAACTCCAGGGCGTCAAATCGAGTCTCTCTGAAAAGACCTTCAAAGCCCATCAACAAATGCTAATGATGATCGTGGCACAGGTATAAAAAAGCGTCAATTTTTCAAATCGCTGAATTGAGAATATCTACCCGCTCTTCGGGATCATGATCCCGGTCCTGACATTCGTTGTCAGCTACGCAATCGACCAGTTGACGCTCGTATCGAACGCATTTTATAAGCACACCTTCTTGGTCTTGCTGCTCATCTACCCGGTAGGTCAGGAACTGTACGTCTGGTACATAGTACGCATAGAGCGTACACAACAGTGCGCTACAGTACGCATTACGCTCAGAAATTCCATTAAAATGCTTCTTATACGTGCACGAACAGCATACTACAGCACACTACAATTGGCAGTTACGCGTTGACAGTCCGTTACAGTACTCGTCACACTCAGAAAGCCCATTATACTTATCCGTTCACGAATGGCACATTAGAGTACATTACAGTACGCAATTACACGTTGACAGCCCGTCCGTTGTACGTCACGTACATACTGTCTACTGGAAAGATACGTATCCGTTGGTAAACAGTGCACTGCAGTACACTACAGTACGCATGTACACTTCGAAACTGCCTACTGTACGCAGCATGCGTACTTCTATTTCAATACAGGGTGTCCCAAAAAAAACCCCCCTACCTAGCGGTCCGCAGTCGATTCCGATTTTTACGATTTAGGTATCTATCGAAAGCTCTCGAAAAGGCGAGAAAACAAGGAGGGTTGAATTTCTTAATTAAGCCTTTTTATTTGCTAATTTTATGTCCAAAAACCATGAAAACTGCTAATTTATGCGAGATCTGCATGCTAATTGCGAAATTCCTGATAAAAAATTCCCGGCTTTTTAGGAAAACCTGAAATATCGATAGAATCTGATTAACCCTTAGAAAACGAAACCCGCTTGTTTTCTCGCCTTTCCGAGAGCTTTCGATTGGTATAAAAATCATTCCGATCCGATCCGATTGACGGCCTCTAGAGGGGGGGGGGGTTTTGGGACACCCTGTACAGTACACCCACCTTTTTCAGTTGATCAGCTTCTGCTGCTGCGTGGCGTTCATGAAGCCGTACCGCGACTTTTGCTTCCCATGTTTCGCCGCAAAGGTCGAGGACTCGAGGGAACCAACCCGGTCCGATACCGACGATGCGATTCGCCGGATTGAGGAGCGCCGCGGAAACTTTTTGGATTGACAACTTTCCTTGGAAAACGTCTAACTATTAAAATAAATATAGATTTTTTGTTTTAAGCGTAGGGATGCATTATTTTTCTTCTTTTCTTGCGACAAAATGCTATTTTTGAAAAAACGGCGACCTGGCCGCCGCCTAAATAATACACCAATTGATGCCGAAAAATTTTGCGCATGTTTCTAGCCTGGTTTCAGGTAGCGGCCAACTTGCCGCTAATGCGAAATGGGGGAGGGGGTAAAATACACTTAGGCCGGTAAACCTAATTCTCTGTACTGCTCGCTATCGGTGTAAAGTAAATAAATCTTTGTAAATTAAAAAAGTCTTATTCGGCATATATACAATCTATGATACACGAAGATAAGAAGTCCTGGCGACTCAGGCACATATTTGAAGATAGCGCTTTGACTGGTGCATGTAGCTGCATATCCCGATACGCTCCCAAAAGCTTCCTGGTCCTGGCGAGCGGCATTTCGTTGTCGACGACGTAGCGCTTCTTTTCCAGTGTCATGATGAGCTATAAAAAAAGGAAGTATAGAAGTCACATAAAAAAAGTTTTTTGTATATGTAGGCTCTGCGGGCGGGGGGGGGGCGGAACCGACATGCCTTTTTCGATACTTTCTTTTTTTTGGGGATTTTTGCAACGCCCTGCGATAGCACATCGAAAAATAGATGTTTTGGCTGTAGCTCAAAGTGTTATAATTCCAAAAGTTATGGTAAAAACAAAAATAAACTTTGAAAATTGGGTTGAGTGACTTTTGGGATGTTCTCGCTTTTTTTTCGCCATTCGAACGCCTAATTTGCACCAACAATGATTTTTTAAATCAAAGTCCGTAGCAAATTTGGAAAACGGATTCGGAATCAGCGAAAAATTCCAACAAGGTGCATTTGGTCCCGAATCGAAACTCCAAGTTGAGTAAACCACTTTATGGTGAGCGAAATCCGGCGCCAAATGACGAAGCAAATTCAGAATTAGAAACGAACCTAATTGATAAAATCGTCTGATCTCGAGTCCCAGCCATTTCGAATCTGCCACCGCAATCACCTCTTCGATGTCAGTTTTACACCTCACACAGCTATTGCCATCGACATAAGCGGCAACTCCAGCAGTAACATTGATTTTTTTTGACGCATCGTAGCATATTTCGCGCCATGCGGTGCTCCACGATGATTGTTTCCCCTTCCTTCCACAGATCTCGCAATGACAACGACCGGCGCACTTGCCACAAAAGCATCTCCAGTACAGCGGATCGACTTTCCCGGTTGATTTGCACCGCCAAAATTGTGCTCCGTAATCGACAAACAGCTCGTCGCCCTTTGCTATGGGACGAATCGCCTACAAAATTCCTCAGATTTACTTTCCTGGCTCTTTTTAGCTAGGAAACGACAATTAAAACGCGCAAAAAATACTTTCCTGGCTTTTGAGCTAGGAAAAGGGCCAGATTTAGAAAAATCCGAAAAGGCTGTTTTTTTTTGGTTTTTGTGAGGAAAATACAAAAGTGAACGCAGCGGCTACTTTCCTGGTTTTTTAGCTAGGAAAAGACAAATGTAATTTGCGAAAATAGATAATCCCTGACTTGCGCAAGGAATAGAAGTGACAAAAGAAGGTAATTAAAAACGATTACGAAATACAATTAAATTTAAAAGGTGTTTTGTTGTTTTTAATGGGTTTTGAATATTAGCTTCTAGCGTTTGCTTAGAAACTAAAAACTACGGAAAAAGGACACAAAAAGAATTAATTGCTAGGCCTGGTTGCTTGGCTAGCAATGGAGGAATGAAGCAAGAAATAAAATATTGCTATAGCTTGTTTTTAGCTAGTATTAAATGAATTGAGCACAAAATAATATAATTAAAATTAAAAAAGCAAAAAGAGTTGGATTTTTTATATTTTTTTTTTTGGTTTTGATATTGAATTTATTTCCGAAGGTTGGCTTGGATAACTTAAAAATGAAGAAATAAAAACTGGAAACCGTAAGGTAATGCAAGGCAATGAAAAAGTTAGTATAATTAACGCCAGAGAAACGTGCGCTAAGAGACAAAATGTGGCCTTAAGCCCCTTCCCTTAAGTGTCCAAAATCCGAAAAACTTTTCCGCAATAAACCGGCCTGCTCGATGAGCTTGATGGATGCTGATTGCTGTAGCCAAGTGTCGTCACAGTTGCTTGCTGCGTGCGGAGGTAGACTGAAGTCTCAACCTTTGGCCGACGGTGGGTCTCTCGTGTGTCATAATCGAGGTGATTTCTCTATGAGGGATCACTACTAGATATAATATTCCCATTTGGATAAGTCTGGCTAGCAACGAAAGAACAAGAAAATAATATAATACGAAATAATAATAGCAAAAAAAATTAGATTTTTTTATATATTTTTTTGGGTTTTTAGATGAAAAAATTTTCCGAGCCTTGCTTGGAAATACGTAAAGATTTAGAAATAATAAAAAAACTGGAGCTAAGGCAAATGGGAAAAAAATAGAATAATTAAAGCTAAAGAAATTTGCGCTAAGCCACCAAAATGTGGTCTTAGCCCCTTCCCTTAAGCGTCCAAAGTCCGAAACTTTTCCCAATAAACCGGCCTGCTCGATGATCCTGGATACTGTAGCCGAGTGTCGTCGTCGCGTGCTGCTTGCGGAGGTAGACTGAAGTCCCAACCGTTGGCCGACGGTGGGTCTCTAGTGGGCGGGGCCTACTCGGGCTATTAGGTAATTCGCTCTCTAGATATTGCTGCCAAAACGACGTTCTTTCGGGTTACGGTATCTGCTACAAAACACTAATAGTAATTCTCGTGCAAAACGTAGGGGGGGGGGGTTTAAAAGTTCCTTTCAGATCCGGGGGGCCTTACCCTGGGGCAGTCGAAGGAGCTCAAGACGAATTAAGCCGGATTTAGGCAAAAATGGCGGCTCAAATAAACCGTTCGCGCTTCATCTAGGACTACAGAGAAACTAGGGCAAGGGAAATAATAGAATTTGTGAACGATTTTTTAAAGAAATTGGATATAAACGCTGTTTTGTAGTGTTAGCACCTGGAGGCGATGCAGGCTGAATCCGCGAACGAAAGAGCATTGTCATAATCTAGGTGATTTCTCCATGAGGGACCACTACTAGATATGATATTCCCATTTGAATGACTATGATTTACCTTCTAAGTCAGAATACTAATTATACTCAACTGATCTGGACTCCGTGTTAAGGTTGCATCTCTGGTAATTAAGTAAGACTATTAATAACCTGACCCATTTAACGGATTCGACCTCCGACCTTTTTTTTGGGGTATCGCTTAGAGCTAGCGTTACGGTCAAGGCTGGGGGAGGCCCCCGCAGGGGTAAAAAAAGCTCAACACCAGGTTTTGATCGCCTCTTTGATGAAGGCGATCATAATCTTGAAAGAATTATCCAAGTCGAGGCCGAGAATCCTGAAATCGGAAAGCTGTAATTAATCCAAAAAACAGAAGATAGGAAACGGAAAAGACAGGCTTGGTTTGAAAGGGCAAAATTCTGGAAAAACTAGGCAGAGAGAGAGCGAGAGAGAGGGAGAGAAGAGAGAGAGAAATGCGCAAAGTACGACGCCAAATAGCGAAAAAAAAATTCAGAACTAGAAACTAAGGTATTGAAATCCGGCCAAGTATTGGCCGGATTTCAAGAGGTATTTGCACGTGGTGCGGCAAAGGAACTTTTCAAATAGAAAAATATTGGTAATATGAGGGCTGTTTAGCTATACAAAAAGAGGGGTATATAACCGAGTCAAGACAAGTAATACTGAATGAAGAACGAAATGAAGAGCTTCAGGCAGACGCCTATCTGCTGAAGTGACAGATGTACACACACCGGGCAGAAGTAATTTTAGGTCAAAATAAACTGATAAGCCGCCTGTGCGGGGGCACCAATAAATTTACAAAGCTTCCGCCGTGACCGCGAGTACTTCTGTCGGTGTAGGTACATCTGCTACCTCACCATATAACTGTCAGTCTCAGCCCAAAACTACTCAGTCTTCATCCAGCCTTACTTTTTTTTGGCTCGGTTGCATATCCTTCTTTTGTAGATCTAAATATACCTCAAATTACTAATACTCTTCTATTGGAAAAGTTTTTTCTCCTCACCATGCGCTAAAGCAAACAGACTTTTGTTAATTAGGTTAATTTCTAATTCTGAATGTCTTTAGCTATTTGGCGTCAGACTTTGCTCGTCTCTCTCTCTCTCCTCCCTCTCTCCCTCTCTTTCTCTCTCCCTCCCCCCTCTCCCTCTCTCTCTCTCTCGCTCTCTTTGCCTAATTTTTTTCCAGAATGTTGCCATTCCGAACCTGTCTTTTCTGTGGACTGACTCTGTTTTTCGACTTCATTATAATTTTCAAATTTCAGGTTTCCGGCCTCGAATTGGATGATTCTTCCAGGTGGGTGATCGCCTTCATGAAAAAGGCGGTGTGTACCCGGCGTTGAGCTTTTCGACTACCGGATCAACTGTTTTCACGAGCATTAGGGAAAAGTAAAAAGTAAGAAAGTTTTACTCGAATATTGTTGGCAACGTGAATTCTCGGCTAGGCTATGGTAGATAACGACGACTAATTTGTTTAGTAATTTGTTGTGGTAAATGTTTATATATAGTAGATGTTCAGCACTTTTAGACCGACGAGAACGGGCCAGCCAATTTGGATCGGTGGCCGGTGAGGAAGAAGATTTTCGTCTGTTCGACGAATCGCAGCCAATGGTTGTGTTGACGAAAAAAACGATCGATGCGCGGAACACGGGCAGGCCTGATGTAGCCCGGCAGCAATATTTCGCTCTCCGTCAAAAGATCGAGATGTTGGACGAGGACATGGCCCTATCCAATTTTGATGGCTCAGGCTTTCGGATGAGGAGACAAGAGGGGAATAGAGCCACGGGCAATTTGGCGTCATTCCTTCGACTTATGTACGCGGGGTCCTTTCCTTATCTTCGGGAGATATTCCCAGAGGAACGTTTGCTGAACCAGCAGTCTCTTGGTTATGGAGTTAAAGCTGTCGCGGGAGATCGAAGAAGACTGCTGGGTGGTCGACTTTTTTGGCCCGGTTTTTGGCGAGGACGAAGCGGAGGCGAGGCAGGCCCGGTAACGTTTTTAACTAGAAAAACAAGGTTATTAGCCTAACCCTAAGCCTAAGTCTAAGCCTGTATGTGTGTCTGTGTCTGTTTATCTCTCTCTCTCTCTCTCTCTCTCTCTCTCTCTTCTTCTTTCTTTCTCTCTTTCTCTTTCTTTCTCTCTTTTTCTTTCTCTCTTTATCTTTTTGTCTCTGTTTGTGTGTCTTTGTGTCTGTCTCTCTGTGTGTGTGATCCGCATTTTAGTTTATTTTCCAGGTTGGCACAACGCGTTGACATTGGCCAACGGTACGAGTATTCCTTGAAGGACATGAGTGATGGAACAGTTACTGCAGGATCAGTATCGAGATGGCTTTTGGACCATCGTCAAAATATGAGCCACATAGGTATGTTTCCCATTTGGCCAGTACAGGGATGAAGGGTGCTTCATGGAAACAAGACAATATACCGGTTTTTAGGGACGCGACATTTTGGGCCTTTGGTTAATCATTCTTATGTGCACCCGAATTGTGAATTTGTCAAGATTGAGCTTGGTGAGGAAGGACAAGCAAATGTAATAGCGTTAAAGGTGGGTGGTCGTGTATTATATGAGGAATTATGTGAAATTTTCTAGGCGATTCGGCCGATTTCAGAAGGGGATGAGCTGTTCGTTGATTACGGCATAGAATTTTGGAAGTCCAAATCGAAGGGAAAAGTCGACCCACTTTATTGGCGATGCTTTTGTGCACAATGCGCCGGTCGATGCCATTGCAATATCTGTGGCAAGAACGGCAGTAATTATCATGGGGCACCGCGTGGAGCGAAATACGATGCAATGCGCCAAAAGATTAACGTTACGGCGGGGGTTGCCGCTCACGTCGATAGCGATAGCTGTGTGAGGTGCCGAACAGACATCGAAGAGGTGATTGCGGCGGCAGACCTGAAATGGCTGGGATTCGAGAGGAGCCGAAAGAAACTGGGAGCCAAAGAGTTTGCGGTGAAGGTGGGAGCGCTGCGAAAAACTTATTTGGAGGTTGAGAAGAAGGGTGGAAAACAGGTAAGGATTTCGTAACAATGTAATGGATGATAGGAGATTTTTGTAAGAAAGGAGGAAAATATATATTCAATGAGAAAAAAAATATTTTAATTGTTTTAGAAGGTTCTCGATGAGGTGAAACGATCTTTTGGAAAGAAATGGTCCAGGGCTCGGCCCATTCTGAGTGCGGTTCAAGTCAAAGATGTGCTTGGGTCGGTGGTGGCGAATTTGCGGACGGAGCAAGGGACTTTATATACTAAAGATCACCAGGTAAGGTTAGATTCTGGATGGCGGGGGTTTTAAAGTTCGGTTGAAGAAACTATCTGCTAACGAGCGTTTTGCCGATTTGATTGATATTGCTAGTAAATTTTGGCTGCTTCCGACAGCTTACACGGTTATGTTTGTGGGGGTGGGGGGGGGTGCCCGGCCTCGACCAAATTTGGTGGATTTTTGGAAATGTTTGACTTTCTAAACATCTTGGAATAAGGAAGTGCCTTTTTGGGAATCCGATGGCATGATTTAGCTTCGAAAGTTACTATTGTCCCTAATTAATATCAATTAACGCAGCCAGCTGCGTTAATTGATGCGAATTGCATTGCTGATTCGAAGCAACGAATGTGTATTTTCAGCGCTTGAATGAGGGTCCAGAAGTGCTAATGGTTCTGAAAAAGAAGATATGTACGTCAAAAGACGAACTTGATTCTTTTACAAGAATTGCGAAGAAGCACAGCTGCTACGACGAGGTATCTTACGAATTTGCTACAAGGAGAAAGTTTTTAGGATGCAAATGACGATCAAAAGGCGGTGGCACAGCATTCCAGCGGGATTGGGAAATGGCTGGAAGAGGCCAAGGAGACGTCCGAGGTAATTCTAGTCCAGAAAATACGTTTTCGATACACAGAAAATTCTATACGAATGTCTTGTTTCAGCTGACAGCGAGGCTCGGTTACAAATGATGCTGGAAGCTGGATGATATGTACGTCAAAAGACGAACTTGAAGCTTTTACAAGAATTGTGAAGAAGCACAGCTGCTACGACGAGGTATCTTATGAATTTGCTACAAGGAGAAAGTTTTTAGGATGTAAATGACGATCAAAAGGCAGTCGCACAGCATACCATCATGATTGGAAAATGGCTGGAAGCGGCAAAGGATATATCCGAGGTAATTCTAGTCTAGAAAATACGTTTCGATAAACAGAAATTTCCATTCGAATGCCTTGTTTCAGCTGATCGCCGCGATGAGAGGCAACTGAAGCCTATTCATGTGTTGACTGTAACTTGCAACTGTTTCTACGTGTAATCATTGTTCCATAATTATTTTCTTGCATTTACAAAGATTGATTTGATTTACACTACTACAGAGCAATTCAGAGAGATGGATTTATGCATTAAAGAAAAAAACAGAGGGAGTGAGAGAGGGAGGGAGAGCGAGTGAGAGAGAGTCAGAGAGAGAGAGTGTGTGTGTTAGTGAAAGAGAGCGATACAGAGTGATTAATTTACACATTAAAGAGAAAGAAACAGCGCATTCAGCGCATTGTTGGAGTTGCGTTGGTCTTCAGTTTTCGAGATGCTATGGTGGCAGACAGCTTGTGACGTACCAGAAAAGGATTTCAATCAGCGTCATACAGAACAGTGACATGAAGGTGTCCAGTCTTTGAGTCCGGGGACGTCTTTGGCATGAATACTTCGAGAGTTGATGTGCCCTGCGTCGTTCCATGTAAAGTCGGTTCCATTTTTCGGCAGTATTTGGCGTGCTCTTTTATATGAAAATTGAATTCTGTGTTGAAAATGCCCCCTCGCCCTCAAATAAACCTGGAAAGGTACATGGAAGGTAGGGCCGATGAGGGGAAGAAGCTTGCAAGCAGCCTAGTTGCTATTAAAAAAACATTTTTTTGACCCGTTCTACGATTTGCCGTTTGTAGTGTATCCATTATGGTGTTTAGTCCCGTTTCCCCTCACACATTTCCCAGCCCGGATTATTCTAATAGGGGTCATGGATCCAAATCGATACACAGTATACACCATATCGGACCCCGGCCTCTGGGCTCGTGCTCAGACTGCCACGGCCTAGATCAGCTTTGAGCATGGGAATTTGCCGGAATAGGAATAGGAACTGCTCAATTGCTCTCTCTCTCTCTCTCTCTCTCTCTCTCTCTCAGTTTTTTCTCTGGCCGACTCTCTCGCCCATTAAACCTACCCGTTTAGATTTACCGTTATTTTTAGATTTATATTTTCCTTTAAGTCTTTTGAATTGACGAATTGTCATGAGTCATTTTTATTTTCATGAATCAAGAGAATTTTCAGGCCCAAGTGACAAAGAAAGGGTATGAAACCGAGTCAAGAAAAGTAATGCCGGCTGTAGACTGAATGATGTTGAGTTGCAAGCTAACGCTTATCTAGTGAGGTAGCAGATGTACCCACACAGGCAGAAGTACTCGCTGCTTCGGCGGAAGCTTTGATAAAACCAATAGTGCCCACGGGGGTTTTTTTTTTTAATTTAATTTAAAAGTTCTTTTGGTGGGGGAGAGTGTTTTTTCCCCCCACCAAAAAGGCAGGCGTCGGGGGCCCCCAAAAAAAAAAAAAAAAAATATAATACATAACACGAGAGGGGGGGGGGGGGCTTGCTTTTTTTCCCTTTTCCCCTTTTTTTTTTTTTTAATTTTTTTGGTTTTAAAAATTTTTTTATATTAGTAACTACTAATAGTTTTTCCTTTTTTAAGGCTCTTTTTTATTAGATTTTATTTTCATCCTCAATCTCTCTACAGGAGGTCCAAAAAAAAGGAACCATCCGGCATTTTGCCGCCTTCCATCCAATCGGTCCCAAAATTGGACGAGAGATGTATCAGACCATAAATAACAAGAATCCTGACCTAAAGCTCCGATATCTCGAGCGCATTTTTAGTTAAGGCAAAAATTTTCTTTTCCATTTTTCATAGGGTTGCCGTGGAACCAAAGCCCCTAAACACCAAGCGAAAATTATTCGGCAAGAATTCTTTTACTAAGAAAAACTAAGAAATTTGCAACGGCAGATTATCTTTCACGCTTTCTCTCTCTCTCTCTCTCTCTCGCTCTCTCTCTCCCTCTCTCTCTATCTCTCTCTCTTCCCCTCTTTCTCTTTCCCTCTCCCGCTCTCTCTCTTCAAGAATTATTTTAATTTTCCCATTTTGCAGGTGGCCCGGCCTCGACTTGGATAATTCTTCCAATATAATGATCGCCTTCATCAAAGAGGCGTTCTGCAAACGGTGTTGAGCTTTTCGACTACCAGATCGACTACCTTCTCAAACTGATAAGAAATGTAAAACGTAAGTAGCGAATATGCTCTAAGTTTTCCTTACGTTTTTGACGCAGAACTTAATTCCAGTAGTATAATTTTTTGGGTGTTCTATCGATTGGCGTCAAAAAATCCCGAAAATATCGAGAAACATCAAAAAATTCGGACTCTTGGGGCTGCTATTAGCAAAACTTAAATAAAATTATTTTTTTAGGAAGCGCCATGTAATTAAAAAACTCAAATTCTATACCGTCTTTTTGGACAATTTTATGAGTTTTTGGCCGAAACGTCAAATAAATTAGAAATTTTTAAATTTTTAATAATGTGCTTGTATATGAAACATTTGGAAAATTCGATAAAAAGCATTTATATTTTAGCATGGGGTCGTGTGGATCAAGCCTAGCTTGTGCAGAATTTTACGCTGCTCTGAACCCGTATTCGAAACGACCAGATTCAACAAGTTATGAATGTTTTTGGGTGCAAAACCGCCCAAGTGTCCTAAACCGGAATTTTTTTCCATTGAAGCTGATCGCTTTGACGCTTCAAAACAGCTTCGGAATAATTTTGCAGTTCCATGTCCATGTAAAATGTAAAATAAAATTTTCAAAATTCATTTTAAAAATAGCTTTCACAAAATCTGTTTCTTCACATGCCTTTTCAAACCTCGATTTCCCTTAAAAAAGGAGACGCACCAGGCCATTGCCGATTCCAATGGAAGGTGTTAATTCCCGCAGGCGATGCCGATGTCCCCAAGGGCGACAATTCCCACAGCTCTCAACCGTTCCGTAGGGTCCCCGTGTTTACTAACGATAAGTGTGATAGTCCGTGCTCCCGCTCAGCTTGTGGGCGGGAGGAAAGTAGTCCAAGAAAGTTTACATCTTTTAACGCTCAAGGTTTACTTTGCCCCCCCGCACCGGAAGGTTTTGGCTATAACTTTGTTATTTTACATAACAAAACTCCTAGCATATTTTTCGACGCTATTTAAAAAAAAAAGATGGTAATAACTATTGTTGATATCGGTACATGACATTAATTATAGGCCTCCACCAACGCGCAAAAAATCATGATGGGATACATCGAGCTCGGCTTATCTATCGAAAAACTCAAGAGCCGGATCGATGAGTTCGAGGAAAACATCCCGCGCAAGGTAAGTTTTCTCATTATCAGGGACTGTTAATGTTTTACAGCAATGGATACTGTTGAAATCAGATGTCACAGCCTCACAAGGACTATGCAATAACCTGACACATCCCATCCGGGTATGCAATGCAAAGAATATGAAAATAACGGTATTATTTTTCAGGATATTTACCATGATGACTGCATGGATCGCTACGAGAGGGAAATGGATGAGGCTCATGATCATCAGGGGCCCAACAGTGAAGTGGAAGCCGTAAGTTTCTTTTCTCACATACACACACCTGAAGAGATCAGCTATCCTACCTTATATAATTTTGGGGTGTATCTCTGTGTGTGTGTGTGTGTGTGGATGTCACTTTCGAGGCCCGATTTAAGGGCCTTCCCCTGGATAAAATGCGCTGATTTTTTGTCACTTGGGGGAATCGACACTCCTCTTTCCGATGGCGTTTTCAGAATTTCGATAAAATACAAGTTTACAAAGTTAAAGCCGGTTTTATTCATTTTTGGGGCTAATTAGCATAATCTGAAAAAATACAAATTTTCTCATTCTTGCAATTTGCCCGCGCGTGTGTGGTCGGTGGGGGGGAAGGGGTCCGAAGGACCCGAGCTATCGGTAAGTCAAATTTTTCATGCAAAGGCCCAATTCCAGCGCCCAAGGCCCGCGAAGCGGGTTTTGGGCGCTGGTCAACTATAAAATAGATCCCCGTTTTTCAGAGAGGTATGCGTGAATACGTGAACACCTTAGGCAATGCCATTGATGAGGCCTACTATGAATGGGCTTGCACAACCGTGCCCATCTTCAAGCTCGGGCACCAGAGCAACACACAGGTAAGTTTTTATTTACTTTTTTGACTATTTCGATACTCCTCGAAAAATGATTTTCAGAACCCAGCAATGAAGACGGGCTCAAAGAGGCTGAGAATTGAACTACACGGCCTCCTAAAGTGCAAAAAGGTAGCGTTTTTACCCATCTCCGCTTTTATAATTGCTGATTCGAAGCAACGAATGTGTATTTTCAGCGCATGAATGAGGGTCCAGAAGTGCTAATGGTTCTGAAAAAGAAGATATGTACGTCAAAAGACGAACTTGATTCGTTTACAAGAATTGCGAAGAAGCACAGCTGCTACGACGAGGTATCTTACGAATTTGCTACCAGGAGAAAGTTTTTTTAGGATGCAAACGCCGATCAAAAGGCGGTGGCACAGCATTCCAGCGGGATTGGAAAATGGCTGGAAGCGGCAAAGGATACATCCGAGGTAATTCTAGTCTAGAAAATACGTTTCGATAAACCGAATTTTCGGCTACGGAGTTTTCAACATTTTCGCTATTTTCGGGATTTTTTTAACGCCATTCAATAGTACATAAAAAAAACATTAAAAATTTTTATCGCAGGTCAAAATATGTAATATCAAAAAATTATCGCAAAAACTAAAATAACCTCTAAAAATGGCGTTGAAAAGCTAGTGTTCGATATTTTCGCTATTTTTTCGACGTTTTCAATACGCGATACAATAGAACAACAAAAAATATTGTTACTAAGAGTTTGGATTCCAGCAAAATAATGCGATATAAAATAGTTACAGCAAAAACAAAATTTAAACGGGATTTTCCTATGGGAATAAGAGGTGCAAAGCTAGTTTTCGACATTTTCGACATTTTTTCAAAATTTCTTTAACGCCATTCGATAGAGCATCAAAAAATATACGAGGAGTTTTAATTACAACCCAAGATAATGTAAAACTAAATAGTTATGGCAAAAATAGGCAAAATTCTGGTGATCTATCAAACACTGTTTTAATTGTATAAATTTTCATATTGATATTTTCGCAATTCCCGGCCAGGGGATAGTAGCTGGGACCTAAGGCTACCAATTGGTGGCCTTAACAAAGGTTTTGGGACCTTTTGGCTGGTGGGGGGGGGCAAAGTCAACTCTTACCCTCTTTTTTATAGGTTGTGCTGAAGCTGGAAGAGCAGCGACCCATGCAAGACGATGAAATGTGTTACGCCAGGACGCTTTTGGACCTTGGCCGATACATCCGTAGCTCTGGAGCGTGTTGACGATGCCATCATCTTCAAGTGTGCCCCGGATACGCCAGCTTTCCTCAGTGGAAGGTTTGACTTTGAGCAGATCCGCCCCGAAGTGCTTGAGCAAGTAGCCATAATGCTCAAGGACTTTTCTTTAATGGTGTCATTAGATGTGACAGGCACGTTATTTGACACCATATTCAATCCGCTTTTCGGATGTAATGATTTTTGAGAGTAACACTCTATGCAGGACCCCCCATTTTGAAGTCAGACTCTTTAGGGCCCTTGATTACTTTTACAACTTCACAGATTTTGAGCACACCCCGCTGTTTGTAAACGGCCTCGTTAGAGGCATCCGTGAGGCATTCTTTCCCCCCATGTCTTCAAGTGTCACTATGGTCGCGGTTTCACCTGAGTCCCAAAATTAGTCATGGACTTCGAATCTACGTTGTAAAAAATTGTAATTCCTGTGTAAATCCTTTTATGTGCCTTAATTTGTATTGTGTATTGTATATATGCCGAATAAAACTTTTTTAATTTACATTTAGTTAGTAACTTTACAATAATAGAGAACAATACAGAGAGATAGATTTATGCATTAAAGAGAGAGAGAGAGAGAGAGAGAGAGAGAGAAAGAGAGAGAGAGAGAGAGAGAGACGGTTTTCAAATTAATCAACTTGTGCTCTGGCAAAGTAAATTTTAAATGAAATTTTGGGCCAAATTTTTATTATTTGGTAACATCTTCCCAAAATTTATAATAATCGGTGCGAGATCAGAACCTATTCTACACAAGGTGGGCTTGGTCTCATTTATGGTTTCCATTCGAATCTTCACTTGCGTATGTCTTTAATGCAAAAATCATACCGAAGCTTGACCCTTATCGACCCGCTACAGATTCGTGGTTCAAAATGAAGCCTGGGGCTATCGGCGTTGCTATATAAACCCCGGGGTGCCCATCTAGTCTTCAAGTCTTCAAGTCACCAACTACCCCCCGCCCCCCTCAAAAATGCGCCTAGCATTTATACTAGCGCTCGTTGTCGCTACCGTAGCCACTTACGACCTCGTGCACGTGTATGGAAAGCCTGAGAAATGGTATATCGTTGCCGGGAACCACTACTCGACCGTTGACTTCGATAGGGCGTTCCTTTTCTTGTGAGTTTGCCTTTTTCGCTAGCTATGCGATATTTTCATTTAATTTTTGAATTTTAATGAGAACCAGGGTTGAAAAGCCGCTTCGCGACTTTTCAACCCTGGCCCCGTCTGATACAATGATATTCTACACTTTGCATAATTCTCGCGATTTTCGATGACAAAAAATGAGAAAGGTAAGAGTTTTCTTTCCCCCCCACACCGGAAGGGTCTCAAAGTTGTCGGTATTTTCGCTTATTTTGTCGGGATTTTCGCAACGCCATTCGATAGAGCGTCGAAAAATATACTCAGAGTTTTAATTTGAGCCTACAATAATGTAAAATAAAAAAGTTATAGCCAAAAACTTCCGGCTGGGGGGTAAAGTAAACCGTAGCCATGAGAAACGTCGCCTCGCTTCCCTTTATATAGGCTACCGCAACTTCCGGTATATGCTAATTGTTTCCTTACAAAGAGGGCGCTCGATTTTTCAAGCAAAGCTTGAATTAAACGTCGAAAACAGCTATTTTTTGAAGATTTTATTAGTGTGCAGTCATCCCAAGGGGACTTAATGAGGTATAATGCATACTATACCTCATTAAGTACTAATACCACGCCCCTTATTGAGACAACGCCCCACTGGAACACGCTGACGGAAGTTTCATGCAAAATGGCACGGACACACTCACATACACATACACTATTTTTGACAAATATTAGGATTCCGGTTTAAATATACACTGATTCCAGAAAGAGTTTTAATTTTACCTGAAATTAACATGCAGATATCGTTTCTTCGAAAATCCCTTCGACCTCAAATTCGCGCAAATTTCGAAAAAAATAGTAGGCCGCTAATAAAGTAAAATATATATAGTATATAAAGTGTATAAAGTATAACATGGTATTTTGATAAAATAAATGTCGACAAAACGACTTCGACAAATAGGCATTCGACAAATAAAATTTCAACGGAATGAATGTCGACATAGTCACCGCAAATGATTTCAGTAGCGTGTGGCGCAATCGGAAAACATTTCACTTTCACACGTTTGATAAGTGGACCCCTGGCGAGCCCGAGATCCAGGTGGGTGTTGTTGACTCCTGACTTGTGCATGTCTGATAGCCAGGCCCGTAGGAGGGAGGGGGGCCCAGGGGGCCCTGCCCCCGAAATCGGTCGAGGTCCGAAAAGTTCATAAGGGGGACCCTTATGATTCTTTTGTATAAAAATTTTTCTGCCTGCCGCGCTGTTTATTACTATTTTTAACTATTTTTAAGGCAGTTTTTACTTCGAGAAAGCCTATTTTTTCAAAATTTTTCGCCTGCGGCGCTGGTTTTTCATTAGTGCATCCAATGTTGATTATATTTTTCGCCTGCGGCGCCTTTTTTATGGTGTTTTGGGGTGCGTTTCGCCCCCACAGGTTGCCAAAGAATAGCAAGGAAAGCCGATAAATAAAAGTATATTTGACATAGGAATATTACAGACATGTTCTAAAACCCTTAAAAATCTATTCATGATGTAATTCATACTCTACAGGGTGTCTCAGGATTATCCGGACAAACTTTCAATGCCATTTCTTACTATTTTTTTCCTGTTTTATGCGCACACCGCGTAGTTTTTATCAATCATTGAGGTATTTTCGAGGTGTTGACAAAGAAAATTGCGCGTGGTTCCAACATCTCGCTTCGTAAAAAATCGGAGAAGTTTGAACCTAATTTCTCCCATCTGGCAAACGCTCAAAACCCGTACTGTTTCCGACGCTATAAAAAGCTTCGATATAACCGGAATAACGAAGAAACCACAGGAAGAGGTCGGAAATGATAAGTCCATGCTCTGCTCGACCCAAAAAATGCTAACAAGGAGATGGTCTCAACTGGGAATCGAATTCGGATTTGAAAATTTGCACACTTATAGAGCTCGACGAGACAAATCGATTGGTGTAACTTTCAGCTGCTGATACAATAACCACGCCGAGTTATAAGCATTTTAAGTTTTTGCATACATTTTGCAATTTTTCGGCCATAGCTTCATAGGCCTTCCCCGCCTCCCCCTCACCATGGTCTGGTGGCCTAGTGGTGTAGTAGGCGGCCTCCAGGGAATCTAACGAGGGTTCGAACCCGCTCACGATTTTTATTTTTTGCTTTTTTGTCCGATGGTTCCTCTGTGCTTTCTGAAGACCTTGAATAGCTTTTTACGCATTATTTTAACTCCTTTGATGCGCCGACAACATCGAACTTCACCGCAAAAATTTTTCTTGCTGGGCATCGAGCCCTTGTCCGACCTATGACTACTATTTCCAAAAAAATTTCGCGGATGAAAGTTTTTGTTCGGATAACACACCATTTACCAAAATTAGGTTTACTCCACGATTTTTGATATGCTTTGAATTTTCAATTTATTTTGGGACCGGCATAGTCCTTTCGGGTAAAAAATCTAAATTTTTTCAAACAGATGTTTTTTAGCCATTTCGCACCAGAGGAGTTAAAACAATGCGTAAAAAGCTATTCAAGGTCTTCAGAAAGCAAAGAGGAACCATCGGACAAAAAAGCAAAAAATAAAAATCGTGAGCGGGTTCGAACCCTCGTTAGATTCCCTGGAGGCCGCCTACTACACCACTAGGCCACCAGACCATGGTGAGGGGGAGGCGGGGAAGGCCTATGAAGCTATGGCCGAAAAATTGCAAAATGTATGCAAAAACTTAAAATGCTTATAACTCGGCGTGGTTATTGTATCAGCAGCTGAAAGTTACACCAATCGATTTGTCTCGTCGAGCTCTATAAGTGTGCAAATTTTCAAATCCGAATTCGATTCCCAGTTGAGACCATCTCCTTGTAAGTTGACTCTAGGAAAAAATCAGCGAGCAAAAAAGATGAAATGATGTCACGCGCCGCCGCATTTACCTTACATGACTTGGCCCGGAGCAACCCTAAAAAAACCGATAAGATACTTTTAAAATGATAAAAATATAGATAGCTACAGTAACAATGATGCACGAGCAATTTAGACCAAGTTAACTTTCATTTCTGAGGAGCTTGAGCACGAGCAAGCTTCAAAATACCCTTATCAGCAATGTATAGGCTATTGATATTAAATTAGAAAATATTCATTGAAATGACCAAACTTTGGCGCAAACAGGTCCGTTTTGCCAGAAAAAGTCACATCTTGTCCAGAAAAACGTCGGAACACTTTTTGAACCTTTGCTCCAAGTTTCGTGGTATTTAAGAGGTGAAAAATCTTACCGCGTTCTTCGCTTGATTCTGAAACTATTAATGCGTCTTCTAAGATTTTTTTTTGCACAGAACATTGAAAACGCCTCAAATACTCATATGAAATACATTAGGTTGGCAGAAAACAGCGGAAAAGACGAAAAAAATGTCTATTTCGTTTTGTCCGGATAATCCTGAGACACCCTGTAGTTACGTCCTATTAATTTTTATCTCTTCCATTTTGGCAATCCCATAAATAATTTCCATACTTTTCCAAAAGTATGAGCAAAAACATTTTAAGCCCAATAAAAAATGAAAATCGTATCAGAATCCTTTAAAACTCCGACACAGGCCATCAAATATATCTTACTGATAGCCACATGGCATCAGTTGTGTATAGAAAGCATTGCAAAACATATGTGTAATATTTTTATGCCAAATCTACTTTTATTTATCGGCTTTGTTGCCATTCTTTGCAACCTGTGGGGGCGAAACGCACCCCAAAACACACCCCCAAACGCACCCCCAAACGCACCCCGGGGTGCGTTCAAAGGCACCCGGGGACACTATTAATGCACCCCCGAGGGAGTGGGGTGCCTTTGAAACGCACCCCGGGGTGCGTTTCAAACAGACCCCGGGGTGCGTTTGAAAGGCACCCCGGGTGCGTTTCAAAGACCCCCTGGGGTGCGTTTCAAAGACCCCCCGGGGTGCGTTTCAAAGGCACCCGGGGTGCGTTTCTTGGGGTGCTGTCCGACACTAACTACCGGCCAAACTGGGTTTGCCTCTAGAGAGTAAGGTAGTTTTCGATTTCTTGCAGAGATGTCGTTCCTAAAATTTTGCATGAAAATTTTTGTTGTTCTAACCCCTGTATAAGACGTCAATATAACATAAACCCATTACGTTTAGAAACTCGCCGAAAACCGGACTATCGGTGTCTCGACGAAGGGGCCCCTGGAGGTAGTCGTCATCTTGGGGGAGCCGAGCAAATATTTTTTGTTTGCCGCGCCCAGCTTCACCAAGATTGATCACGAAAAATATATGATGCTCAGGTTCGTGCAGTGGGATCCATCCCCAATAAAAAAAGAAAACACTCAAATAATTGGCAGAATTTGAATCCTGATTCCAGAACCGCGACCCCGAACTTCATCGAGCATTTCATCGACAAGGACTGGAATCGCTTCTCCTACAAGCTCGAGGTGAGGAAACGACTAGTTGGAGGCTGTCTGATAGCTTATTAGCGTTTTTATTTTTATTTTACGCAAATTTATCAATTTCAAATGATGAAATTTAACAATTAAAAGATTTTACTTGTAGCTACTGGCGGTGAATGGAGAACCAGAGGTCCGCGTCGGCAACAAATGTGAGGCACAGAACACAGGGGTGAGCTTACTCGGGACCAAAAAAGCCAAGACTGCAACAAGCTTTTCGTTTTTTTTGCCATTTTAGCCTTTCTCACGAAACTATTTTGGGGCAATATTACTTAGGGTTTTCCATATATCGGTCTATCCCAGGAGGCGAATTTTTCCTACTTAGTCCTTTTAAGCTTAGGCTTAGACTTCGACTTGGGCGCAAGCTTTGGCATATCCTGTGCTTGGATTTGGCTTCGGCTTAGGAACTCAACCAGAAATGAAAAATTCTTTCAGGAAACGAGCCACGAAAAGGCAGAAGCTGAAGCCAGCCTAAGGTCCTTCCGCGGCGTGATTCTGGCCTCTATCGGCACCGCCTTCTGCATATACATAATCCAGGTTCTTGCCTTGTGCCAGCGCATTAGGTCCTTGTTTCGTCCGTGAGTATCATGCATTGCGTCTGCCCATTGTTGTATTCATCATTGTTTTTTTATTGGATTCACTAATATCAACACGTCGTGGTAAACACAAATACCAGTCTTAGGACCCGATTTGCTTGGGAAACTATAAATCTTTAACATTTACAGCTGACAAGCAAAGTCGTAAGCATCGGATTTTATCACAGCACAAAGTTTATACAAAGATGATAGGCTTCGCTCCTGGTCCATCTTAGCGGCCGATACCCCAGACGTTTGGCGGAATCCATCCTGAAAAAATAGGCGTAAGATACAAAACTGAGCACTGACATTACCCAGAATGACTCCAATTGTCCCGGTGAACCTTGGGACGCATGAGACTTAAAGGGGGCAGGGCGGAGCGAAGCATTGTAGTATAGCATATTTATTTATTTATTACTAAAACTGTACACACATGCAATACGGCGAGATCACAAACGATATTCTGGTGAGTTCATGTAATCGATATACCCGGGGGTCCAATGGAAAAATCGGAAAATTCGGAATAGCAAATTGGAGATCAGTTTTCGAGATTATGTTTTGTGAGAGCTAGAGAAATATAAAATGGATCCTTATTAGTTTAAATGAGAATAATCATGATCAAATAAATTCACAAATTGGCCATTTGCGCGGCCATTCGCCGGGCCGCCTCCGTGTTATCACGGCTCGGGTGCGATTCGTTTAGTCTGAAAAAGTGATGAAAGTTGGTGGGTTCACCGACAAAAAAATATCTGAGAAACACAATATGGTGGGGTTAGTACGGCAGCAGCACAAAAACAGCGCAAAAACGGACTATGGAATGCGGGAATGTGGCTTAATGGGATCTTGGTTGAAAGTATGGACATGTTGTTTAATAGTCATTAAAGCCTATTAAAGAAATGAACCAAAATTTCCTAGAGTTGAATTTTTTATATTGTCACCAGATGGTTCCAGTCGCTTCGCGACTGTAACCATCTGGCCTTCGGGTTACCCTTGATGTAATACACCTAACTATCCACCTACTTCTACTAACTACCTAAATACCTTCCCGAAGGCTTTAGATACGCCCCCTAGCTGAAATCCCTTTCAAAAACTACCTAAATACCTTCCCGATGGCTTAAGATACCCCCATGGCTGAAATCCCTTCAAAAACTACCTAAATACCTTCCCGATGGCTTAAGATACCTCCCCTAGCTGAAATCCCTTTCAAAAACTACCTAAATACCTTCCCGATGGCTTAAGATACCCCCCATGGCTGAAATCCCCTTCAAAAACTACCTAAATACCTTCCCGATGGCTTAAGATACCTCCCATGGCTGAAATCCCCTTCAAAATCAACCTAAATACCTTCCCGATGGCTTAAGATACCTCCCATGGCTGAAATCCCCTTCAAAACTACCTAAATACCTTCCCGATGGCTTAAGATACCTCCCATGGCTGAAATCCCCTTCAAAATCAACCTAAATACCTTCCCGATGGCTTAAGATACCTCCCATGGCTGAAATCCCCTTCAAAAACTACCTAAATACCTTCCCGATGGCTTAAGATACCCCCCATGGCTGAAATCCCCTTCAAAAACTACCTAAATACCTTCCCGATGGCTTAAGATACCTCCCATGGCTGAAATCCCCTTCAAAATCAACCTAAATACCTTCCCGATGGCTTAAGATACCTCCCATGGCTGAAATCCCCTTCAAAATCAACCTAAATACCTTCCCGATGGCTTAAGATACCTCCCATGGCTGAAATCCCCTTCAAAATCAACCTAAATACCTTCCCGATGGCTTAAGATACCTCCCATGGCTGAAATCCCCTTCAAAAACTACCTAAATACCTTCCCGATGGCTTAAGATACCTCCCCTAGCTGAAATCCCTTTCAAAAACTACCTAAATACCTTCCCGATGGCTTAAGATACCCCCCATGGCTGAAATCCCCTTCAAAAACTACCTAAATACCTTCCCGATGGCTTAAGATACCTCCCATGGCTGAAATCCCCTTCAAAAACTACCTAAATACCTTCCCGATGGCTTAAGATACCTCCCATGGCTGAAATCCCCTTCAAAATCAACCTAAATACCTCCCTGATGGCTACAGATACCTCCCCTAGCCGAAATCCCCTTAAAAAACAAAAATAACGACCGACCGGATTGAATGAGAGAAAAAAAGAAATGAAATCCTCCGTGAAAATTTTCATCCACGAAACGCGCGCGATCTGGCTCACTATGCGAAAATCATGCCAACCTCCGTCCCCCACCCCTTTTACTAAGGAAAAAACTTTCAAAGTTAATTTTAATAATTTAAATTAAAACTTTTTCGTAATTTTGTTATCAGTTTTGGGGTTTCTGACCACGCTCTATCCGAATCCGAAGAGAGCTAAGCTCTAGCTCTTTTCCCCTTCGAGTTGAATTCGGCTTCGGACGGACGGACGGACAGACAGACGGACGCGTCAAGAAAATTATTATAGTTGATATTTTGATCTTTTAGAGATTTCGTGGAATTTTGGCGATGTCAGCGACACGCAATGCATATGTCTACTTTTAATTGCGTAATGGATTATTTGTTTATCTCTCGCTGTCTCTCTCTCGCCCAGTCATTCTCTCGCTCTCTTTATCTCTCGCTCTCTCCCCTCTCTCTCGCTCTCTTGTCTCTCACTCTCGTGCCTTCTCTCCCTCTCTCTCTCTCTCTCTCTCTCTCTCTCTCTCTCTCTCTCTTTCTCTCACGCTCGTTCGCTCTCTATAGCTCTCTGTGCCCTTATCTTTATCACTCTCACTCTCTCTCGCTCGGTCGGTCTCACTCTAGCTCCCTCGCGCTCTCTGCCGCTCTCTCTCGCGCGCTCTCTAGATCAATAGCTCTATACTATGGTACTATCTTTAGCTTAGAAATTTTTTTGGGCTACTTTAGGTTTTTGATACCCTAAAACGACACCTAAAAAGGCCACTTTAAATTCTACGCAAAAACCACTGACCTCTTTCAACCACTTCCAACCTTTCAACCAAGAGATCTCCGTACCTATGTTATGATGTTTTTCGAACCTCGCAAAGTAATAAAACAATACCTCGCAAAGCCCGAAAAACCTTAGCAACCATGCTAACAATCGATCTCATGCAAAAGCTGACGCGACGTGGGACGAGCAGCCAACTTTAAGCTCAAAGCTTCAAGCTAAAGCGCGAGTTTCAAAGTTGAGTCCCTGAGCTTAAGCCTATGCCTGAGCCTAAACGTAAGCCCAAGCCTAAGTCGGAGCCCCACGCACACGTCAGCTACAATCAAATACAATCAGAGCAGAAAAAATACATAGGGGTCTGTCCGATATAGTAGGAGGATATCAGACAAAAATCTCGACTTCTTGCTGGTCGCCGTGGAGGGCCTGAAACTCTTGGCGAAGCTCGTGGATCTGGAGCGAGGCTGAGGAGACGGACATTCCGGATCCGCGCCGGTTGCTCGAGATCCCGGATGGACCACTGTTCTGTTGGGGAACTGGCATTCGACCCAGTGGATTGATCATTTCGGAGGAGGAACGTCGGAGACGTTCCGAGTCGTCGGAGGAGCGTCTAGAAGGAAATGAGGTTAGGGTTGGTTTCGAGTCTTTTTTATCGTTTTCGAGTTTCATGGAGCCTTGCCAAAAAATGGCATTTTAAAACAAGCTTTCTCTCCCTCCCTCTCTCTCTCTGGACCTATCTCGCTATCTCTCGCTAACTCTCATTCACTCTCTCCCGCTTTCTCTCTTTCTCTCTTTCGCGCTTTCTCTCTCTTTCTCTCTCTCTCTCTCTCGCTCTCTCTCCCTCTCTCTCTCTCTCTCTCTCTCTCTCTCTCCCTTTCCCTCTCCTTCTGTTAAAAAATTAAATTTGCTTTTTTCCTCAAGCGCTCGATCGTTAGAGGAATTTTTAAAATCAAAACCGAATTCTTCGGTTTCTTGGATTCTAATTTCTTTCCAATGGGCTAAAAAGTCATGCAACGGGTAAAAGCGCATGTAAAATCGGTTAAGGGCGCTTAGTTTCTAATAGTTATTTGTTTGTTTCTTATGAAGCCATGGAAATTTTTTGGATTACGCGCTAAAACGCGCTTCTTTCTGCTTTTTCTTGAGCCGTAAAACGCTTTCTGATTTCTTCAGGACGCGAATTTCGACGGGTCGTCATCGCCCTAATGAAATATGCAATCTTTGCGAGTCGTATGTGAGAGGTGGAAACTTTAGCGTTGCCGTTTTATAGATCAAAAATACCCGGAGTATAGATTACGATAGGCTCCTCCAAACACTCACCGGAACGTTGTCTGCCCTCCCGTCGTGATCGAGCAGCGCTTCTCCCGCGAAATTTCGTCGACGATGATCTCGGGCTTTTGGATGGCCGGCTGACGGTTGTTGTGGAGGAGCCTGGAAGCGACGAGGCACTCATAAAAGCCACGAGCGAGCCCAAGCTAGGCCGGAGCCTAAGCCTAGGCCTAGGCCTAAGCCTAAGCCAATGCCAGCCCTAAGCCTAAGCTTAAGCCTGGGCTCAAGCCTAAGCCTAAGTCTAACCTAAGCCCAAACTTAAGCCTAAGCGTAAGCCAAACCTAGACCCAAGCCTAGACTCAAGCCTAAGACTGAGCTCAAGCCTAAGTCTAAGCCTAAGCCCAAGCCAAGCCTAGGCGTACGATGCGTATATCGTTTAAGGCATGCTTAAGCTTTTTTTGATGTATCTTTTGATACATTTGATCTTTTGATATTTCCCAAATTCAAATCTTCGACTTGAGCATACCTTTTCAACAGGCAAAACGACCATTAATTTTTACGATTTTTAGCTATCAGGCGTAGCATTAAAAGTTGCAATAAAAACACTATAGCTCCGGCCGAAGCCACAGGCGATCCATGCACAGTATTTTACGTACACGCAGCGTACACTTGCGGAGCGCCAACAACCAGAGCTACTCGGCCACCCGGCGAGGGGTATATTTTTTATGTTACCTCCTCAGCACTAGCCCTTGTACGTCAATGGTTATGGACTCGGAGCTGAAATAAGGAAAGGGGTGTAAATTTTTAGGGCTCCTCACGTTTTAAAGGGACTGACATGTCTTGTTTTTTCGGCGCATGGGCCAATCCCTAGAAAAGATCGAGCACTACCCAAGTCAAAATCAAATTTTCAACAAAAAGGGCATTTACAAACTTAAACTGAACGTCAAGGGGGTTTTTAGCGCTTTTAAAGAGGCCGGGAATTCATAAAAAATTAGGGTTGCCTGCTCCTTTAAAAAGATATTGGAGCGAGAGATTCGTCAAGGCGTATCTCTCGATGACTCTCTCTCTCTCTCTCTCTCTCTCTCTCTCTCTCTCTCGCTCTCGGGGACGCAACGCGACCACATCGCGTCCGTCGCGCCCCTGTCGCGCATCCCATCCCAAAAAAGCCTCCAGCTCACCCGCACGAGGAAGCCCTCCGCAACGGGCTTTTCCGGATCCGGTGGAACGCCCCGCAACCACAGTACTTTTTACGATTCTGCTGCTCTTCTTGCTTTCTCGCCGGCAGCATCCACGTCTTTTCTCTGCCCCTTCGAGTTGAGGATCTCCCGAAACCGACGAGCCGCCGGAAGGAGTGTCGGAACTTCTGAATTTTCCTTACTTGGAGACAAACTACAAACTCACTTGGTTAATGGCGGAATAGATGAAAAAGTTGAGGGATGAGTTCAAGTATCCGAGAGCGGTGAACCAGTGGAACCACACCTCTAACTCGGTCGACCAGTCTTCCCGGATGAGTTTGTAGATTTTGACCATGTTGAGGGTGAAGAATGGGAGCCAACAGACGAGGAACACGACTGGAAATACGTACTTAATTAACCAACACCTTTTTGAGGTAGGCTTAAGACAAGCCGCTCCAAAGTCTGTGACTAAGCCTGAGTCGAAGCCCGAGCATCGGCCTTATCCTGAACTTCCTAAGCTTCAAAACTGACCCATGACAGTCGCCACCAACTTCGTAGCTCGGGTCTCACGACGAATCGCCATCCCCTGCTTGCTTTTCAGCTTGGCGAGGAGGTCAAGGGCCCAGTCCTCAAAAATCGCGATTTTTAAGTTAGTGTCATTTTTAAAGGGATAGGAGCAGCATAAGTCAATCGATTACGCGCGGGAAAGAAAATGACTCTGCACCTCCCCCTGGGCGCCCTCTCTCGCCGCTGTATCTGTTGAACCCCCTCTCCCCAAGGGGGGTTCAACAGATGTCGTCCTCATCTCTTTAACGATGTCTCATTCCTCTCTCTCTCTCTCCCTCTCTCTCATTCTCGCTCTTACTCTCTTCCCCGCCTCTATCTCTCGCCCACCCTTTCTTCCTTCCCCTCTCTCTATCTCGCTCTCTCTCCCTCGCTCTCTCTTACCTTCAGTCCAGCCAGCTTCTTCCTAGCGATATACACAGACTCTCTTCTGGCAAAGCTGTACATGTGCGACAATGAACTCCTACTGGGTCGTTCCCAGTCCGAGATCATCTCCGACAACCGCCTCATCTTCCGCTTTTCCGCCTAAAAACGTTTATTTCACTCAGTCTTCTGACGTCTAAATTACTCCATAGGTATAGAAACTTAATATGGATATATGGGTACGATACTTAACGAGATGGGTTAGAGGGTTTGGGGCAAGATTTATCATGCAGTTTTTGGTCTCAAAAATTATATTTTAGGTATATAAACTTAATACGGATATAGGGTTACGATACTTAAATGGGGGTGGGCTTAAGAGTCGGGTTAAATTTTTCATGCGGGGTTTTTTTTGCTAGATAAAACCTCTGAATTGAGGTCAATTTGGCGGGCGATCGACGTGGCCTCCGGGTCAGCCGGCAGGCTGAACGTTTTGCTCTGCAACGGAAAAACCGGATAGCGATACGGTATATTTGTAGGTGCGGCACGGAATGGCACTGAACACGTGAGATATCGCATTTAAAGGGACGGGCAAGGCATGACTAGGGATTTTGTCGGCTAAACATTTCTACGCATTTTTCCGCAGTATGCTGAAGTGATAATTCGTATTTTCCTTGCGGTAAATGCATGGTTTTGCCTTGACCGTTCCTTTAAAAACAGAACGACTATGCAAAGTTATTGAATTTACCCAAGCCGGGTCTAGCTAGAGAGGCGGGACAAGCATGTATAAACTTGTTATAAACACCTTAGAGAAAAATCAGCATTTTGAAGTGTCTAGAATTAGTCAACCAGGTTTTTCAAGAAACATTAATAAAGTTGATGAAACAATTTTATCTTATAGATTAAATTAATTCATTTTTTGCCCATTTTATTAGTTAGCGAGTGAAATATAGTGTTTGTTAGCGTGGAAAGCTTGATTTAATTTTTTCACCTAAAAATTTAACCCACCAACGGCGGCTTCAGCGTATTATCTCGGCTACTCCTTGGCGCGTCTGTCCGATCCTTCGATTTCCGGCGTATCTGCTCGGAGTGCCGGCGTTTCTGGGACTGGAGCCCCAACTGAACGCCCTTCTTGGAGAAGGAGTTCTTGCCCAACGCTTCGGAGAAGCGGCGAGAGACGCTGAAGGGCCAGATTTGAGCATGAGTTAAGGTCTCGCTTGCTCAGCCTGTATTTGTCTCTCTCTCTCTCTCTCTCTCTCTCTCTCTCTCTCTCTTTCTCGCTCTCTGTCTCTCTCTCGGTCTCTCTCTCCTCCACTTACTTTTTCGCATAAGCTGGCCTCGGCACTTGCAGCACAGGCCCAAGCGGACTCTCCCGATCTCGTTCCATCTCCTGATGAAGTGTCACGGCCTCTAGCAGCACAGAAGGTGGCCTATCCGAATCATCGTCCATCATCGAATTTTCTTGGCTATTTGTAGAGGATGGTTGAACAGCTTCGAGGATTGTTTGGAGCTGAAAAACAGATTTTAAAACCAAGGGATAAATGGATTCTTTACCTGCTCCCTCTCCGAGTCGTTCAGCGAGCTCGCGTGTTCAGCAGCGGTTTCTTCGATTTTTCGAAGAAGTGGTTTTTCCCAGGTGATCATGTTACGATTCTTGGGGGCGATACCTAAAAGTTAAGTTTTCAAATACAGAATTCTCTATTTCAGGTGGTTCAACAGGTCAAAACAGAGGCTTGTCATGATGTCACACTCTCTTTAAAACTTACCTATCACGCTTTGCATCGCCGCTGTGGTAATATTTCCCACGTCGGCGCCAAAGCCCAAAAATTGCCCGCCAGCCATTTCCTAAAATATTTTGATAGCGAGAGAGAAGAGAGAGTGAGAGAGGGGGAGAGCGAGACGAAGCAGGAAAGTTGTAGCCAACCTGTAGCTGAATAGCCCTCAACCGCTTCCTCAACGTATAGAAAATGTAGCCGTAGGTGATCAGCATCACCAGGCAGGGCAAATAAAACGCAAAGATGCTGCTGCTCAGCATATAGATTGGATTGTAAATCCCACAATGATGTTCCGTAAGTAGGAAGTGACGCGTACGCGTGTTGAAACCGGTGCCTAATAGTTGCTCAATTTTTTTAGTCTATTAATCAGAAAAGCGGAAAGACAAAGACAGAGAGAAAAAGAGAGTGAGAGAGCGAGAGAGAGACGGCGAGAGAGAAAGAGAGCTCGAAAGAGAGCGAGAACGACTCTTACCTAGTGGCAACGCCATACATATACTGAAAATCCAGGTGCACGCGATGGAGACGTGAACTCGCCGCCGATGCTTTGGCGTCTTATACTCGGCCGGTTTTGTGGCAGCTACCAACCTGAAATGCACAATTAATGAATTTTTGCTTAATATTCCCGGAAATCAGTTAGTTAAAATTAACGGGAGGCTTACCGATCGATACTAATTAGTACAAGATGTACGATAGAAGCAGTACTCGCCGCGACATCGACGACACAATAGAAATGGCAGATGAATTGAGGGAGGTGCCAGTGAAGGCCGTTAATCTAGAAAATAGGTTTTAAAGGTTGAAGCAGTTATTCAATTATTCAAGCATAAAGAAAAAAAATTTGAGAATTTTTGGGTGGTTTTCATTTTCCGCCTTTCTCGAGGATCAAAAATTTTGGATTTTTCTACTGATTTCTTCAGTTTTTTTCTATTATTTCTATAGTTCACTTACCGATAAATAAATGCTAAATGGCATCACAAAGGCGCCAACGATCAGATCGGCGACGGCAAGTGATACTAGTAAATGATTGGTGGGAGTTTGTAGCGACCGCGTCGTCCAGACGGCTGCCACCACCATGCAGTTGCCTGAAAAATTAATGTTTTCAAGCTTAAAGGAAGCTGAGGAGAAAAATTAACCCCTTCTAGGAACTGGCCGTCGACAACCACAAAATACGCCAAAATAATCTTTCATTAAAAACATTTCAGTGTAATCTGGTGTGCCAGGTATTTTTCTAGACCTAGTCGCTTGGAGTGGTCGATTTTGAAAGTTTCAAACTGCTTTACTTAGGCACAAAAGGTTGAGATAGGTAACTTTTTCATTTCGGTTTAAGCTTCTCTCCCTCCCGCTCTCCCCCACTCTCTCTCTCTCTCTCTCTCTCTCTCTCTCTCTCTCTCTCTCTCCTCGCTCTCTCTCCTCTCCCCTTCCCGATTTGCAACAAATTCCGGCCCACAAATACCCCCTGCACTTCCCCGTTTCAATTGACCCCTTGAGAAACCGGAGCCGCAGGGGGTCCATTTTTCCCACCCTCTCGCGCCCCGTTCCATTCAGGACCATTTTTAGACGTTTGCAAGGGGCTTATGGGGGTGACGTCACCCCGTCTGGACAGAAAAATTAGGGTCGATCTCAATTCAAAATGCTGCGACTACTTCTTGGCCGGGGGTTTTTTTTTGGGATAACAGACCACGTTACTTTACATACCCGTAGAACGGCTACGTTAAGTTACGTACGTACGCCGCGCCGGATACGGTTTGGCGCATAAGTTTACGTTTTCCGACTTTTATCGCCGCAAACCTAGCGTTTTTTTTTGGCAAGACCTTAAATCTTTTCCTCGCTTACCCATAATGCAAACAAGCGGAATAACCGATAGCCCCAGGTACCACCACTCTGCCACGAGACGCTCATCTTGTTCGGCTAGGCTCAGGTTGCCCCAGCGCATCTGGAAAAGAGAAATATAATTTCTAGCCTGAGAATGGATGAGTGAGAGAGAGAGAGAGAGAGGAGAGCGTAAGAAAATAAAACATCTAAAATCAAATTACCAAAAATCTTTGAGAATTAAAATGATAGGCAAAAACCATCATTGATACCTTAAAAATGCGATAAAAATGGAACTCAACCGAGAAAACGAGCAAGAGAACGCTAGTAAAGCAAGTGAGAAAGCGAGAGAGAGAGAGAGAGAGAGAGAGAGAGAGAGAGAGAGAGAGAGAAGAAAAGGAGAGGGTGGAGAAAGTGAGCGCCAGACGGCGAGAGATATAAAAAAAACGCAAAAATCCATAACAAAAATATCGAAGTATATATATATCGCATCCAAAGTCGTTCAAAGGCATTCGTACTTGGTTACTATGCAGGTCATCAAAATTGCAGCATCAGAAAAGTGATGTTATCTCGCTTCCGGATCAGTGCAACAATTTTCCGGATCCCGGAAAGACTACCCGAGAGTGATACTCTAACCATTAACTCGCCAAACCAAAGTCTGCGCAAATTTCTAACGGCAACAAATTGATTGTGAACAGATTTCTGAGCTCCACGATACTGCTCGGACTACGGTCCCACGGCGGTTCGGGCGTAATTCGGGTGGGGGCACCCACAAAAAATTGTAGTCGCGGGTGGGAAAAGCGTCGCGCCGGCATCCAAACGGCCCGGTTTGACCAGGTTTTTGGCGTTTTTGAGGGCGATAACGTCCACACGAGTAAAATGGAATCATTTTGTAGTGGCTAAATCGGGGTGGAGATGAAGTGGATTTTTTTGAAGTTAAGGATCTGCAGAGTCCGGATCAGAAAACCGAGATAGAAAGAGAGAGAGAGAGAGCGAGAGAGAGAGAGAGAGAGAGCCAATGAAAGACAGTGAATGAGTAATAAAAAATGACTTTTTTGCGCCGGACACTGCCTTGCGCTTTCTTTCTTTCGAAACCCGGAACCTCTCAGCTACGAGATAAGTTGCAAAGTTGACGTCAATCCAGCCATCTGCCAGGTAAAGTGGCTGCTGATTGAAGATTTCCCTTCCAACAAGAGGTCGCATGGTTCCCCTCCGGGCCCTGCAGGACCCCTAAAAAGCTCAATTAATCCGAGAAGGGGGCACTGCCCCGCTTCTTGCAGTGTTGCCCCCTGTCCTTGTTAATAAAGGGATGAGGCTGGCCAAGCTAAAAATATAGCGATTTTAAAGGGCTTGACAAGGTATAGGCGGTCAGGGCTTTGCCGACGGATTTAGAATCAGACGAGTCACAAATCTTGCTCTCGTTATCTCTCTCTCTCTCTCTCTCTCTGTCTCTCTCACTCGCTCTCTCCTTTTCTATATATCTCTTTCTATCTCACCCTCTATCTCTCACTGTCGTTCGCTCTCTCTGGTTCCTCTATAGTTTTACTCACCCAACGCCTAGTATTCTGCATTACACCTATGCACAACTCCCTTCCTTTATTTTTGCATCCATAAAACCCGTCCCCATCTCGGCAACGATCCCAATTTGTGGGATATAGCAGTCGCCCCTAGGACTGCCCGATAGCTGTTGAATAGGGCCCTCCCGGTGCGGGAAAAGGAGCATCCCGGAAAGCACTAGGACCCAGCCACTTCCCCATCTCCTCTTTGCCATCCTCTTCTATTTGAATCCATAACGGGCCAATTCTGAGAAGGAGTCGCGATCGAAAATCGGAGTCTTTCGAAAAGGGGAAGCTGAAATTAGACTCGTTTGCAAAAAAAGCGGGGGCTTGAAGCCGGAGATGGGCGGGTGATAAGGTTAAAGGGATGGTGTCAGGAGAGAGGGAGAGGGAGAGAGAGAGAAAGGGAGAGAGCAAGAGAGTGAGAGATAAAGGGCGAGAAAGGGAGCGATATGTATTTTTAAAGAAAATTTAACAAATACGCGCGAGAAAGAGGGACAGAGCGGTATTTTCCGAAAAAATATAGGTAGAGAGAGAGGAGGAGCGAGAGAGCACGAGAGAGTACTAGAGTGAGAGGAGAGCAAATTTTCTGTGAAAAATTGAGAAATACAGATTGAGAGAAGACGACCAGGGGAGCGTGAGAAGCAGAAAACAGAACGCGAGTGCGGACGCGAGGCAAAACCGGGCTCGAGATCAAAAAGCCTATTTTTCTGTATTTTTAATATTTTTGAACCCAAAAAAGAAAGTTAGCTCCCAGGTCATCGAAACTTCCAGACCTAAGACCTAGTAAACGATAAAAATAAATCCCCTACCCAACGTGACCATCGTGCAAAAGTGGACCCCGAGAGGGCATAAAATAAGGCGCAGCTAATGAGCGTGTGCCTCCCCCGGTTGGCGGGCGGGAATTTGTGCTCGGTGGGAACTTCTGAAAAGCCGTGATGGGGTCGCCGTGACTTCGACCTAGCCTTTCTGGCCCCAGGGCACAAACCGGCTATTCAACCTTCGGAATCGGTGCTTCTTGAAGTTATGGAAAAAGTGGAGATGACTTAGACCCGGTTCTTTCGTGAAAGGGATGCGGAAGCCATTTGAGACAAATTTAAGGACTCTATATCTCTCTCGTCCTCTCCCTCTCTTTCTCTCTCTCTCTCATTCTCTTTCTCTCGATGTCTCTGATAATAATTTTGATCGTGTTTAGTCTAAATGAAGCATACTATATATGAAAGTAAATTAAAAAATGGTTTGAAATACACCCTATAATGGTTTGAAAACTGAAAACGACTCCCAAATAAAAAAATACACATTCCGTGTAACTGCCATGGGGACAAATGGCATAGTAAAAAACGGAATGGGGTACGCGGAGCGTCGTTTCTGTATATAGGATTGCAGAAAAAACTCTCAAAAGTGCGCTGGACGATGAAATCACTTTTGTTACGAGGCTAAAGCAATTGAAATAACCATTTTTTGAAGTATGAAAGAGAAAATTAATTTGGCTTGAATTAAAAGGCCGTTTGCGAGAGGACCGAAATAGGCTTGGCACAGTTTTTTTCGACCCTATTTTTATGATGCCATCTGAAAGAGCGTGGCCGAATTAGTAGGGTGGCATAGTTTTGAAAGTTTAAAAAGTTGATTTTTGGGGTTTAAATGGCCGTTAAAGTTGCCGACATCAAAAACCTATCTCGAAAATTACTGGACCAAATTTGTTGAAAAGTTGTGACAATACCTAATTTGGGATGGAGATCATTTCTCTAATACATTTCGAAAGCGGAAAATGGCTGGAACATAGGAATCTCGCGTACTAAAAACAGTTTTTTAAGATTTTCTACTTAATGGGAAATCGGCGGCATCCTGAAAATAGCATAGAAAGATGCGCCAAATTTTTCTACGTCGAATGATGTGTCTTTTAGGATGCCGCCGTTTTCCCATCATCTGTAAAAACGGCATTTTCTTAATAATAAAAAGAAAAATTTCCAGATTTTCAAACGGGGAGTCACCCACTTGCTTCTAGAAGCGCAGCCAAGTCAATTGCAAAAAAGAGCAAAAAGAAATTCGGTTTCTAAAAGGGGGCTGGAATTGAACTCGGGTCGTTCGCCTGGGAGGTGGCGGCGCCCACTAGTGCCTTTCCCCAGAGCCCCCCAGGCGGACCATCGCGGGTTCGATTCCCCTCCGTACTCAACTTCGCGTAGATGAGGAATTTAATTTTGCTCTTTTTTGATAATGGGTGGCATTGATCTTGAGATGCTTCCCGCAATCCTTTATATTTCTCATCCGCAGCTCCCGATCTTCTAAGGCCACTTTTGTTGATTCCAGAGATCACCCCTTTTCTAGATGATGGGAAAACGGCGGCATCCTAAAAGACACATCATTCGACGTAGAAAAATTTGGCGCATCTTTCTATGCTATTTTCAGGATGCCGCCGATTTCCCATTAAGTAGAAAATCTTAAAAAACTGTTTTTAGTACGCGAGATTCCTATGTTCCAGCCATTTTCCGCTTTCGAAATGTATTAGAGAAATGATCTCCATCCCAAATTAGGTATTGTCACAAATTTTCAGCAATTTTGGTCCGGTAATTTTCGAGATAGGTTTTCGATGTCGGCAACTTTAACGGCCCTTTAAATCCCAAAAATCAACTTTTTAAACTTTCAAAACTATGCCACCCTACTAATTCGGCCACGCTCTTTCAGATGGCATCATAAAAATAGGGTCGAAAAAAACTGTGCCAAGCCATAATGGGGACAGGTCGGGTGGCTGGCGGACGGCCTTTTAAATCGATTACGATAGGGTATCTGGCGTCTTAGTACATTTAAAATAGCACAAATTTCATTAACTAAGCGTAATAAATGAGCCAGATCCGTGCTAGATCTAAAAAATGAACCAGGGTTACTAAATGAGAAATCAAGTTCCCCGGAAAAACAAGCACAAATTGTATCCATGATGTCAAGGCCGCGTTTTTTGACCGACACCCCCGGCCAGAGTTCGTGCTCAATTTAGAAAACTTCTAAAAGGAACCAAAAAAGGCGCAATTCAGGAATCCAGAAGCCCTTTTTGGAATAAATTTGAATAGACGGTCCCTTTAATTGGAGGGCAGCGGCTGCAATTAAAAGGGTGGTGACCAATGTTTGTTGTTCTTTCCATCTCTCTCTCTCTCTCTCTCTCTCTCTCTCTTTCTCTCTCTTTCTCTCTCTCTCTCCGACTTCTTTGGTTTTTTCGCTACTGCTTCCAGCCCTTGGGCCCCGGGGGACCCGCCCGGACCGCGCGGTCCAATCTCTGAGATTCTAATTTGGACAACGAAGCGCTAGTATTGGCAGGTTCATTTTGGGATTAAAATGCTAGTTTTTGGTATCATACGAAAGCTGTCTAAAAATAAATTTAAAATAGAAAAACATTCAAAAAGGCGCCCGGCCCGAATTTTTAAGCCTGAAAACGTTGACGTCTATTCACGAAAACCAAAAATCATCAATTTTATTTGTTCAAATCAAATTCAAATCTTTTCGCATAATTCTGCAATTCAAAACCTGAACTTGTAAAAATACAAGGTTCTCGTGAAAAGTACTAAAACTCGAAAATTCT